TTTTTTTTTTTTGAGCCTGAGTCTCACTTTTTCACCCTTGTTAGATGGTGCTGTTAAATAGTGTTAGATAGAGCTCTTGGGCTCAAGCGATTCTCTTGCCTCAGCCTCCCAAGGAGCTGGGCCTTCAGGCGCTCATCACAATGCCCAGCTGTTTTGGCTATTTTTACAGATGGGGTCTCACTCTTGCTCAAGCTGGTCTCGATCGTGTGAGCTCCGGGCAGTCCACCCGCCTTAGCACCCATGTCTGTTTTCTTTACGAGTCAGTGTCATGTTTTAAAAGGAGAGAAGGAGGGTATTGGAAAGAGAATATAAGGAAAAGGGTGAAGATCTAAAAATCTTTGTGAGAAAGTGAGGGGGAAGAGGGTTGCATACCAGGAACAGTAAAAACAATTTTTGAGCGGAACTGGGGCCACAACCGAGATGGGAAGTGGTAAATAGAGGCATCAGATCAGTTGGTGTTTTCTTTTTAATGATGTTTCTTGTTTTCTTCACCTCTCCACCTTCATAGGTTCACGAGCCCTTGCAAGCCATGGGGAGTAGTGCTGATAGCTGTGACAGTGAGACAACAGTCACATCATTTGGTGAAGACCTTGTCACACCAACAGTACAAGACCAGCCCTATTTTAATGAATCAGAGGAGGAGTCTCTCGTCCCCCTCCAGAAGGGAAAAGAGAAGGCAGGAACAGTTGCTGACAAAAGAAAGTCAGATAGCCAGGATTTCCCTCAGTGCGAGACCACTGAGAATAAGGAAAATAAACAGTCCACCTGTGGTCCAGGAGATCATGTTACTGAAATTACTCAAACGAAAGAGGATTTAGCACAGACAGAGCTACTGAGGGAAGCAAGTGCCGAAAGTGATTTGGATAGAAGCAGTGAGTGCGAATTTACTCAGTATACCACACATCATATTCTGAAATCTCTGGCTTCCATTGAAGCAAAATGTGGTGATAAGAGCTCTGAAAATGCAACTGGACCTCCCTCTTCTGTGGACAGAGTTAACACAGCTTTGCAAAGAGCTCAAATGAAGGTTTGCGGTCTGTCTAATCAAAGAGTAGGGCGTAGCCTGATAAAATCAAAAGATCTGTTAAAACATAGGTACTTACTGGCAAAAGCTGGATATCCTCTAAGAAGGTCTCAGTCTTTACCGACCACCTTACTGAGCCCTGTCAGGGTCGTGTCCTCTGTCAATGTTCGGTTATCTCCAGGAAAAGAGACCAGATGCAGCCCACCGTCCTTCACCTTTAAGTACACCCCTGAGGAGGAGCAGGAATTAGAGAAGAGGGTGATGGAGCGTGATGGTCAGTCCTTAGTTAAATCCACCATTTTCATCTCTGCACCATCTGTGAAGAAAGAAACAGCCTCCCAGAGTGAGGCGACCCAGGAGGAATGCCATCATGGAAGGACTCCTACCTGTTCGCTGTTTGTTCCGGCACCCATATCTCAGTCCACCTGCTCCCTTCATTCCCTCCACTCGGAGTGGCAGGAAAGGCCCCTGTGTGAGCATGCAAGAACCCTGAGCACTCACAGTGTTCCCAACATATCCGGGGCCACCTGCAGTGCCTTTGGGCCCCCTCTCGGGTGTCCTTACTCACATAGACATGCTGCCTACCCTTACCGAGGGTGCTCTGGGAATCCTCCTTCCACCATTGAAATGCAGCTGCGAAGAGTCTTGCACGATATAAGGAACTCACTGCAGAATCTTGCGCAGGTATGAGGAGAAGCATGTCTTTCTTGAGTATGTCTTTTTTTCTTTTATTGCTCTGAGCACCTCTCAATTCTCTAAGAAGCTGAGAATCAGGTGTGAAGCCCTGAGTTTATTTTCTTACCTGTCTAAACTTAACCTATATCTGCCTTCCTTTTATAACCTTCCCTCCTATTTCAAGGGAAAAGTAATCCTGAACAAAGTTAATTTCTTACTTGGTAATCTCCCTCCCTTCCCAGGGGAGAGATTTTGCTCATAGATGTTCTCCTTTTTTAACCTGTTCTCCATTGTCTTTGTCAAGTTGTGCTTCTTATTAAAAATCTTCCCTTTCCAAGTCCTCTGTCCCCTCATCTCTGCCACCGAATGCATTGACTGCCTTTTCCTTCTCAAGTTCCTCCCTGTGGGCTTCTGTGGCACCGTGTTCTCCTGGTTCTGCTCGTTCTCTCTCTGGCTAAGCCATCCCCTTCACCTACTGACCCCTGATGCTGCTGTCCTGGCACAGGATTAGCCCACTTCACTGAGTTCAAATACTGGGACTACTCCAGGACAGGAAAAAAACCAGGTAAAGTGTGAATTTGATTCATAGTGCTCAGTGTGTCTTGTTTTTAAAGTTGTCACCCAGGTTGGTTAGTAGACTGGAAATAATTTTCAAAAAAAAAGAAAACCTTTGAAAATAAGTAAGTTGTCTTCAGGTTTGCTTGTCACCTTTTCTTTCTGAATCTCTGTCTGAATTTTATTTATATTTAGACACTTGAGGAATTAAAACATCAGTGTAGTGTCCACACTGTTCAATGTAAAGCAGAGAGGCCTAGAATGAATGTAATACATCTGTAATCATCATGAAACAGTAGGCAGAAAGTTGCTTTAAAAGTAAAAAGCAGAGTTGTAAGTTTTCAGTTACAGTAAGATATACCTTCTTTTAATACATGTAGGTTTTATCCTGATGACAGTTCCCTCCTCATGGTTTTTAGTCTAACCAAAATATGGGTGTTTCTATGAAATGGAGTTCTAGCTGTGACTGGGATATATGCTTTTTCAGCTCTAATTATAGGAAGGTGAGGACTTTTAGGGCCCTGTCCACCTGCACTCTCATGGTATACTGTTCTTTCTAAACCAGGTTGTTCTGCTCTGTGGTCTCTACTTTTTGGATGTCCTATCAATAACTCAGCTAATAATCTCCCCACTCTCCCTACATGAGTGGACATAATGGCCTCTGCCCCTCTCCGTAGTCTCGTTCTGTAGGTGTGTGCTCCAGCCCTACTGGACTGTGTGCAGGTCTCTAAATAGCTGTGCATTCTTAGGTATCTGCACATGCCTTCTTTTTTTTTTTTAACCTGGAAGGCCCTCCCATGCTTTCTTTGAATAGCCAACTCCTGTTTGCTATTAAGATTCAGCTCAAGTGTCACCACTTTGGGAAAAGTTCACCTAACCTAAACTTGAATTTTTATTTGTTTCCACATAGCGCTTCCCCCTCCCTGTATTTTAATTTTTTAAAAACCTTCTCTTTTGTTCTTCCTTACACTGTGAGAACGTCTTTTTATCTCACTGCCTAAAGTAGTGTGGTACATAGGAGAAGCTCAAATGCCAGGGAAAGACTGGTGATTAGGACTCTGTCCTGTCTAGTCAGTAATTACTGTAATCTCACGATGACAGTTACAGCAGCTTGTACATTTTTGGGTTTTGTTTCCCTACTTTCTTAAGGCAAGAGGGTAGTCCTATAAGACAGAGATAGGAACTATTCACATTCCTTTATCTCTTCTTCCTCCTAAGTACATTGACTTACATCCGGAACAGGTAGCAGTAATAGGTATCCCTGGGGACTGGTTTTTTGTTTTTATTCCTGTTCATAATGAAAGGTTTTTGTTGTGGCTATTGCTTAGCCTCAAAGGGGAAAATAGCCCCAAACTCTACCTTTTTAACATATTGAATAATTTGGAAGGAGCCACTTTAACATTGACTTTTAATCCTAATTTTACTCTTTTGAAGTACCCTATGATGAGAGGACCCGACCTTGCTGCTGCTCCGTATAGTAATCAGAAATCAGCTGTTCTACCTCTTTATGAAGTAAGTTCTTACTTACGTCTTTGTGTTACAGAATAATCTGTGTGATTTAGAAGGATAATTTTGGTATGTTGCCTTTTAGAATACTTTTCAGGAGCTCCAAGTAATGAGGCGGAGCTTGAACTTGTTTAGAACACAAATGATGGACTTAGAATTGGCAATGCTGCGTCAGCAAACCCTGGTTTATCATCATATGACGGAGGAGGAGAGGTAAAAGCTCATTTTCATTCAATTTACTTATTTTTAAGCCAAGTTTCATTTCTACTGCTGTGCACCCTGTATCTTTCTGTGAACTGGTTTAGATAATGTTAGGCACACATTGTGTACTGCTAAGTGAACTTCCCTACTTTCAGCACATTAAGGAAGTTGGTGGTTATAACCTGTTTTTCAGCATTTGGGATATTTGTGAGAAAGTACGGAGGAAAAAAGACTGATGTCCAACTGGATTCCCCTGTTGTAGTTATATTGCGCAAATTTATACAAGTCAGGATTTCGGTACCTTCTCTTAGTTTATAATTGCCAAAACAGTTGTGAGTAGGAATCAAACTGCATTTGTCAAGCTGTGTGCCTGTTACCATACCCACAGGTTTGAAGTTGATCAGCTCCAGGCTTTGAGAAATTCAGTGCGGATGGAGCTTCAGGACCTGGAACTGCAGCTGGAGGAGCGCCTGCTGGGGCTGGAGGAGCAGCTGCGAGCTGCGTGTGTGCCCTCGCCCTTCCGCTCCTCCTCACTCCTGGTACGCTGCCCTGAGCCTGCTCGGGAGTTTGCACATAAGTTAGGACACGTGCCTTCATTTGAAGTCAGCTATTTTATGGTATTAAAGGCATGCAGACTGTTTAAGGAGCTTTCCCACAAATCAGTTGAATGTGCAGTTGTGGTAATTGTCTTAAATATTTAGTATGTTTAGAAATAGGTTGAAAAATTGTAATGATAAATTTTAATAGGAAAGAATAAGAGTCAATTCAAAAGTTTAGTTTTTTTAAAGGAAAAATGAGAGTGAGTTATCACGTGACTAGTTTAAACTTGATGACTGCATGTAACTGCAAAGAGCACAAATGTGTGTTTTTTACCCCTTTCTTGCCTTTACGTAACTGGTTAAACTTTTCCTTCATTTTGGATTCTTTTCCCTTCTTTATGATGTTTTAAGGAATCAAGTGAGATGTTTAGATAAGAAACATAGACAGCAAAGAGAAAAAAGAAAACCCTGCCTTTATTTTGTACCACTTTCCATACTTCTAATGTTTTTTTCCATGAAATGTGAATTTCAGTGGTTGTATTCTTATTTCTGCCAATGTTTTTTGAAGTTGTAGAATGTGCTTTAGAATGTTGCAGTAATGAATTTTTTTTCTATTATTTTAGCAACGCATTGGATTTTATTAAAAATAAGTGAATGAATGCCCATACCCCTTCACACGCGCGTGTGAAGTAGAATGGAGTAAACCTGTGTATACACAGATAGAGCACAGACTAGGGTTAGCCTGCTATACGTCATTAGTGAATGTATTCTTACATTTTCTCTGTTATTCTGAGAAAGATGTGGGGGTGGCAGCAGAGATCAGAACATTCTCTGTGTACCTTGTATCAGTTTTCAGTTGGAATAACACATTTTGTCGTCTAAATGACAGTTGAAAGTGACCTTGATGACATAAAGGGATGCTTCTTCACACTAATTAGCCAATTAATTTTATTACAAAACTCTTGCAATTTGAAAAAAAAAAAATATATATATATATATATGAAATATATAATATATTGTTCTTACCATTTCAGGGAATGTGTAGCAGTAGAAGTGCTGATAACTTATCCTGCCCTTCTCCACTGAATGTGATGGAACCAGTAAGCCTCTCTCCTTTTAAATCACCAGCAAGGGGAATGATCTATAACATTTCATAAACACACAGTTTTCCTAGTGGAGATGAAATGTATATTTATTTGTTTTAAATTTAGAATTTGATAAGTTACAATTAAATTGATTGGAAGTGAGTTTGGCATTTCTGAAAGTCCATTGCCACCTAAATCACTGGAAGGCCCCCTTATTGCCATCATGATTTATCTTCTTTATGACCTAAAGGAAATAATGTATCTTTATGACCTAAAGAAATAAACGTATTCAGCTTACACTCAGGAGAAGTATGCTTTCATAGCCTGATCCCAAATCCTTTAGGTAGTTCTGTAAGATGACTATTTTTTGAACAACAATCCAATTTTTATGAATTTTTGACAAATTGGCTTATTTGAGGCAGAAGCACTGTGAGTATTTTGTTTTTCACTGGACTCTTCCTTCCAAGTAATTTGGACACTAGTGTGGTAATAAGTAAAATTTCATCCCACTCTGTATTCCAGTTACCAGTTGTGTTGCTAGATCTCACCAGGAATCTAAATTGTTCTTTTTGCAAATGAAATTGAGTAATTACTAAATAAAACATATTAACTTTACAATTTTGCAGTTATTCTCAATAATCACAATTAGGATGTAAGACTTCTTTTAAAATACTAATCTTAATTTAAGAGAGAAAAATAACGATTTTTCTGATCTCCAGGTCACTGAACTGATACAGGAGCAGTCATACCTGAAGTCTGAATTAGGCCTGGGCCTTGGAGAAATGGGATTTGAGGTTCCTCCTGGAGAAAGCTCAGAATCTGTTTTTTCCCAGGCAACATCAGAGTCATCTTCTGTATGTTCTGGTCCCTCTCACGCTCACAGAAGAACTGGAGTACCTTTTAGTGCCTCTGTGAGCAAACCCAAAACCCAGTCAGTGGCAAGTAAGAAAGTGTTCCGAGCATCAGTGGCCCTAACGCCCACCGCCCCTTCTAGAACAGGCTCTGTGCAGACACCTCCAGACGTGGAAAGTTCTGAGGAAGGTGAAGCAGCTGAAGAAGTCCCAGAGGCTGTAGGACCTAAATCTGTAGTGGAAGAAGGGCAGAGAAAACCCCCAGGAATGGCAGCTGCTGAGGAAATGCACAGAAGTGTGGAGCAGGATGAACTGCAGCAGGTCATACGGGAGGTGGGTACGGTCTCGGCCTCATGGATTCATCTGGAGATGTGTGTTAGAGGAGATTTTTTATTGTAATTATTATGGGTATATAATAGTTGTATATCTTTATGGGGTACCTGTGATGTTTTGATACAGGCATACAATGGAATTAATCAAGTTGGGGTAATTGGGGTATCCATCACCTCAGACCTTTAACATTTCTTTGTGCTAGGAACATTCCAATTCTACTCTTTTAGTTATTTTAAAGTATACCCTACGTAGTGCTGATTATAGTCACTTTGTTGTTCTATCAGGCATTTTCATTCTACCTAACTATATTTTTGAACCCATTAACCATCCAGCTCTTATCCCCTTCTCCCCACTGCCCTTCCCAGCCTCTCGTAACTTTCATTCGGTAGAGGAGATTTTATTTGAATGTTTGTTGTTGATAAGAGACTGTTTTGACTCACAGTATTTAGTAATTTTCATAGAGCTTTTAAATTCTTTCCTACCAGTCTAATTAGTGTCTACTAAGGTATGTTTGTGATGGCATTTCTGCAGATTCCTTACTCCAGTGTGAAATAGTTGCAATTTTCTATTCACTATGATGAAAAAGTACTTGCAAGGCTTGAAGTAGATAAACATGTAATAAATTCTTTGGACCTCTTTTTCCCAAGAGGTCCAGGATTAAAAGCTGCATTTTATAATTTCAGTTGACATGAGAAAATAGTGTTGTGATTTTAATGATTTTAATAAATATAAAGAATTGGATCTGTTTGGTTTGCTGGGTGTAGAAGTGTGGAAATTATATGAGTTGTTCAAAAGTTGAAATATAGTAAGAAAAAGAAGGCTTTATGAGAATCTGAAGTATTACTGTAGTTCTAGATTACCAAAAGGACTGTAAAACTTTAGGGAAGTTAGTAGTAAAAGGTCAAAGTGTGATAAAGTTACTGAAATTGACCTTTTTCGTACTAAGATCAGGGAGTTAGAAGAACTGCAGTAGCACATCTGTAAGTTGACCACCCAAGGGACTGTAACCAACTGGTCACCATTTGGAGATGGTCCATGTTAGGAACTCAGCCTACTGTACTGATACGTAGATGAGGTGCATGTCCGGTCTGTGAAAATTCGGTCAACTTGAGGTGGTCAATGTAGAGAAGTGGTCACCTATGGAGGTTCTACTATTATGTGTATCAGTTACAGGGATAATTTTTTATTTCAAATATTTTTGATCTGCTGTTGATTGAACCATAGGTAGGGAATCTGAGGATACAGAGAGCTGATTGTACATGTTAAATGGTTAAAAAATACATAAATATTACAATAAATATGGCACTTTACCTTTAAAAATTCCCTTAGGTTTTTGGAGTTGGGCTTTGGAATTTGCAGCTTGTGAGTTACTGTGAAGGAGTGGAAGGAAAGTGACACAGTTGGACTGTTTAGCAAACTCTGTGCATCCGCTCTGTTCAGTCACGTGTGCCTGTGACTGGTAATCCACTCCTGTTTACGTGTTTTATAGCAAAGATCAGGTTTTGAGTAAAATGTTCTTTTCCACCCTATGTTTGCTGACTGCGGAAATAGATTTTAAGATCGCTTTTTTTTGTTGTTTGTTTTTAGAAATGTGATGTTTTTGTTCCCCTTAGCTTGCTTTGGTTTGAAAGTTTTGCTTGAAAACTTTGTTACTTGTTTGGCACAAATTCTCCCTTTAATGCTCACTTTGAATTCTCATTTTTAAAGTTGTAATGGCCTAATATGTGTCTGAAGTAACTTCCTGGAAATAAAGCATTTGTTTTAAACGAGAACTTTGATTCTCGGCCATTAGAACACAGTATGGAGAAATGTCAGTTCTCCTTTGGCTTCCTTGGCTCTAGAGACCTTCTTAATCATTTAGAAGACCGTCCCATTAAATGTGAGAGATTTTATTATTTGCAGACATTTAAACTGACACGCAAGGCATGTATTTTCAGAATTTTTGGGAATTTGGTAGTGAACCCATTAATAATTACAAGCTGTTTCGTTCAGAGTTGGGCCTAGTCTGGAGGAAGTTGGATTTAAGGTGGACTTGTTTACTGTCTACATAGATGGACTTTCCAAGCAAATGTCGATAGATGAGACAAGGCATAAAAGGAATATTGTTGTACTTCAGAAGACAAGTTTTTTTGAAGTGCTTTAAAAGCGCATATTAATAGATAAATTAGTTTAATGCCAGTTGTAATTTTAAAAACAAATTTGTGTTATTATCAGCTCAGTTGAAGTGGTTTTCTGTTGGTTTGTTTACAAGTATTTAAAATTCAGAATAGTCTTTACTCCATTTCAAATTGCTGATCTTTTAACTTAAATATACATGGTACTAAATTCCAGTCTCTTTTTTAAGCTTAGTGCATCAGCCTCCAAGACAATTAAATAAGATTCTGTTCTCCCAGTAAATTCTGAGCCCTTAACTCCATTAACAAAGCCACCATTAAAGAAGGCAAGATTTAATCTTGAGTTGAACAGTTTTGCAGGTGAGGATTAAATATGATTGCCGGGTGCTTTTAGGAAAGTTTTCTCATTGTACTCGTGGGTGCATGAAAACAATAACATGTCAGGACTTTGGTTCGTCATTGCACCATGAGTGAGGTTTTTAAAAAGAGTGTTTTCATCATTTATAATGTGTTAATAGTATAGGATTCTTTTTTTGGAAGAGAGCATTGAAAGAAAGTTCTTCCAGTTAAGCATCTAATGTAGTCATTTAGTAACTAAACTTTTATCAGATTAAAAGTGGCATACCACTGGGGAGGGGCAGGGATGATTTGTTTTCACATGTTCCTGACCCATCACCTTTGGTGTTTTAAAGATACCCCTTTTCTGTGTACACTGTGAAAATTGTAGTAGGAAAAAATCACATTTAAGTTTGCCCAATCATCTGTGGTGCATGTGATCAGTGGCCTGAAGCTGTTTACTTTAAAAATGTATGTATATGTGTAAATAAAAAATACTTAATAGGCTCAGTGCCTATAGCTCGGTGACTAGGACGCCCGCCACATATACCTGAACTGGTGGGTTTCAACCCAGCCCGGGCCTGCCAAACAACAATGACAACTACAACCAAAAAATGGCTGGGTATTGTGGCGGGTGCCTGTAGTCCCAGCTATTTGGGAGGCTGAGGCAAGAGGATCACTTGGGCCCAGGACTTTGAGGTTGCTGTGAGCTGTGATGCTAAGGGCACTCTATCAAGGGCGACATAGTGAGACTCTGCCTGAAAAAAATACTACTAATAATAAAATCAATCAATCAATCAATGATACTTAATAAATATTTGCCCATGGAAGCAAATTCAACAGAATTAAATGTCAAAGAGTAAACATAGATTGCTTTGTGTTGTGGAGTTCTTCTTTGTTTATTCATGTGCTTAGAGTTGGTTCTTACCTTTCAGAATCTTTAAACATATTTGACGTGTCTTAAACATGTATTTTGGTAAAATACACAGCTTGCCCATGTGTGATTATTGCAACTTTTTTTAGCGATCCCTTGATACAGTGGCTGCCACACAGCAGGCTCTCGGTAGGTACATTTTAAGTGGACCCAGGCGTCAGACTTGCAGGGAGTCTTTTGGTATTGTCAGTATCATTCCTTTCTTAATCTCACTCAGGCAGTTTTATTTTCAGCCTACATTGTTGTTTGGGAATTCTGTTCATAAAAGTAATTTTACCAGCAGTCCCGGTAGAACCTTCTCATAGTCCTTCCAACCTCTGTGTAGCACAGGAGACTTCAGAACTGATTCCTTTGATAAATTATTTCAAGGCATTTTGTCATTTTCAGTGCCAAGTCTGCGGTTCTTTGTTCTTCCACTTTCTCTTCCTTTTTGTATCTGATACTGTCTGTCCTGCTGCCTCACTCTACTGATTCATCCATTCAGATATTTATTGAGTGCTTATGTATGCAGTTTATCACCTGAGCCCCTACCTGAAGGCGCTCTCAGTGTACCATTCATCCGACCTCACCCCTCTTTCTCTAATTCTCCTTCTGCTTCCCAGAAGGCACTGTTTGTCAGTAAGGCTCCATTATACTCTCTCCTCTCATCTGAGACTCTCACGCTTTAAAGTTTTCTCTCTCCACTATCATCGGAGACAGTTCTAACTTTTCGTGACCTGCTATGTAAAATTATAAGATGTTTGACCATAGAGATCCTTGTATGTTTTACTCTAGTCATGTCTGCACTCCAGAAAAAGGCTGGCACACAGCACACATTTTTGGTTTGTAAAGAATAGTTTTTGGCTAGTCTTACGTGGGTTTTTTTTTTTTGTTTGTGTGTGTGTTTGGTTGGTTTTTTTAAGGATGAAGAATGATGGCATGTAATAAAATTGCCATATTTCATTGGCAGCAGGACTGGAAAGATGATACTATTCATTGTCTCCTAAAATATAAATTTTCAGTGGTTTGGATTCATTCAGTATATTGTATTTGTGTTTTATATACTATGGCTAAGAGAGTCTAGTTTCTAGAACATTTGTATCCAGTACATACTTGTTTAAAAAGTAAATCTGAAGTGTTATGAGCTTCAAAAACTTTTGGTGCTGTTTAATATTTAGAAATCTCGATAGGAAGTAAAATGAAAAGCTTATATTTACTTAAATATATTTTCCTACAGATGGTTGGTGGCTGAGGAGCATTTTGTTTCCTGAATAACTATGAAAATCTATGTATTGTGTACCAATTTTGCATGACAGATTAATACAGAGCCATTTTTTCAAAGACTTCAATTAAGATGTGTTCAAAATATACTTTGGGAGTGGCTCCTGTGGCTCAAAGGAGTAGGGTGAAGGCCCCATAAACCGGAGGTGGCAGGTTCAAACTTGGCCTCAGCAAAAAACTGCAAAAAAAAAGTACTTTGGAATATTTTAGGAAATAGATCATTCTGGCTGCCAGGATACTGTAGAAATGGAGAATTTTAAAAAGCTGATTGAGAGTGCCTCAAGTGCTAATTTAAGGGCGTTATTAGTTTATTTCAGGAAATACACACTTTAAGCTTTCAGAAGTGTTGATAAAAAGTGATGCTTTAGAGAGAAAAGGTGGAGATGGGCGTGGCTGTCTGGAGAAGACGACCCTGATGGAATTGTCATTGCGCTAGGTCTCTTTGACTTTCCCAGCAATGGGATGCGGTGAATATCCTTATCTGAAGCAGAAGCTTCAGACTGGTGACAACTGTGTCATACAACTAAAGGAAAAGTTATTTCTTTAGAGTTTATGACTGTTTTGAGGAAGTTTTCCTTATTTCAAAATAAATTGTACTAAAGATAATATTTTCTTTTTCATTTCAAATGTACAGGTTAGTACATTATATAATTTCTTAAACTTCTTTAGGTATTTTGCTTTCAGTTGGTGTCATCAACTGAAACGGGCATCATATCTGGATATTATTTTATCATCACATGAAACAGGCATCATATCTGTATATTATTTTATCAAAGTATTTTTAAGCAGTGAGAGCCCTTGTGTGTCCTGCTGATTACCTTACAAAGGTAGGGAGTAATAAAAACATGTAGTCAGTCCTTCCATGGTATTTTGTGTCATGAAGTATAGTGTTTATTGGAAGTTTTCTAATCTATGAAATAACACTTTCTAACATTTTCAATTTAAGAATTGTGTATTTTATAATCGAGTTAGCTGAGTCATGCTAGATCAGCCCCCAGAGTCTGATTTTGTTTAGAGCAGAGATGGCCTCGGTTCCCTGCTCCCTCTCTGTGTTAAATGCAGGTTCACATGAAGACTGTGTGCAGTTCTCTCTATGGTTTAGCTGATTACAGGAGTTAAATGCTATTTGTTTTTTCTAAGCACAGAAAAAAAAAAAAGGAATTACATTGTTAAGTTCTGATTTTTCTCTTTTTTCCATTCCAGATTAAAGAGTCTATTGTTGGGGAAATCAGACGGGAGATTGTAAGTGGACTTTTGGCCGCAGTATCTTCAAGTAAAGCATCTAATTCTAAGCAAGATAGTCATTAAATGGAAATTATAGGTAAATTGTTCTGAATTTTTTTGTTTAACCAAATATAAGTACTTGGCATTTAATTCTTTGTTTCCTTAGTACACAAGTCTGGTTTTCTAGCTACATTTTGATTTTTAGAATATATATAATTATGTTCTACCGTGTAAAAACTTCACATAGCCCTATTTGAGGTGTAAGCAAGAGAAATCTCATCATACCAATCTCCAGGGAATTATCTACGTTAGGCCATTTTAGTAGAATTTTAGTGTAGTAAATAAATCCTAGAATTGGACTTTCAAACTTGAAATCTTTGAAAGCATTGATTATAATAAAGGTATTTCAAATGCATAATTTATGTAACAAGATCTTGAAAATCAAACTTTTTTAGTATTTTTCTTAATTATTTTGTCTTTTAAAGAAACATATCCCATATAGCCCATTTCTAATTATAATTTATTTTAAAAAATTATTTTAAAAATAAATAATAAATTGTTTTGTGTTTTACTTATTAAAATGAATGACTTATTTTTCTCATAGGTTTAATTACATTTTATAAAAATACATCTTAATAGTAATACTTGGTGATTGCCAAAAGGAATAGTACACTTTGGTAGAATAATACCTTTAATGGAATTGAAAATATCCATTGTATAGCAAGAGATATAAAAATGTAATTTGAGGCTCGGCGCCTGTGGCTCAAGCGGCTAAGGCACCAGCCCCATACACCTGAGCTGGCGGGTTTGAATCCAGCCCAGGCCCGCCAAACAATGACACCTGCAACCAAAAAATAGCCAGGCATTGTGGCGGG